TCTTGAGCCAACTTCATTGTCTCTGACACACCTACCACCAATCACTGAGCCAATTCATCTTATCCAGGGTCTTCTCTTGTGCTGTCCCTAGACCCTTTCAAGCATGATGTCCCTCTTGGTCCCTCCTTGTACCATGCCCAAAATATGTCAGTCAGAGCTTCAGAATTCTTGCCTCCAAAGAGCAGCCTGGTTTTACCCTTTTCAGGATGAACCTGCATCAATTCTCCTCTTTAGTCATTGTCCAGATTTCTTCTGATGCATAGCAAGTAATTGCAAAGACTGTGGCTTAGATCATGCACCCCTTAGTATCTAGACTGACATTGTTGCTCTTCAGCATTCTGAATTAGTCACTGAGAGTAGATTTTCCCAATGCAATTTGTCTTTATATAACATAGAATCATTTTCTAGGGGATATTTTACTCTCCAAATTGAATCATGTCTGGAGTAGAAATGCATAGGCATTCTGTTCTTTAACATTTATTATTCTACTTTGCCTTTTAGTAATCATAAGTTAGCCAGGACATGTCTTTGTTTTCTTTTCTTTTTCTTTATGTAACAAAAGTAGTGAATAAGAGCTTTAACTAAAAAACCTCTCTTAGCTATATACTTATCTTTATTATTTAATCCCTTTAAATGCCACCTTCCTCATAACTAATGCATATATTACACATTTGCTTTACATGGTTGTAAATGTGATTATACTGTACCTAGTACAGTTCATAGGGAGCTCTGGTGACCTGGTGGGTCAAGAGTTGCAGTGCCAACCTAAAAGCATGTGGTTTGAATCCACCAGCTACTATGTAGGAGAAATATGGGCAGTCTCCACCTGTACACTTTATAGCCACTGTCAGCTATGAGGGGATTCCAACTCAGTAGCACATAACAACAACAGCAGTACAATTCATGACGAATATTTGCCTGCCTATCTGTACCTTCCAAGGATAGGTTGTTGCTGTTCTGTGCCATCAACTTGACTACAACTCATACCTGTGAACCATGGCTCTAAACCTTGCCCTATCCTGAGCTAGCCTCACTCTCCCTAACACCTGTCCCATTGCCATAGTCACTGTGTCAGTCTCATAGTAGGACTCAATAACTGGTAACTGGAGTTAGAACAACAGAGCTCTACTTGTATTTTTCAACCCCTTCCCTTAATATGACATCTTTACTAAGGTATAATTTACATATCATACCTATACTTGGACCAAGAGGCAGTTGTCAGAGCAGAGCAAGGAAACACTGCATGGTTCAGAATTGGGAAGGGCGTAGGCCAGGGATGTTTCCTGTACTCCATACCTTTTCAATCTGTATGCAGAACAGATCATCTGGGAGGCTGGGCTCTATGAGGAGAAATGCGGCATCAGGATTGGTGGAAGATCTATCAACAATCTGCATTATGCAGATGACACAACCCTACTCACTGAAACTGAGGAGGACCTGAAGCGCTTGCTGCTGAGGGTCAAGGACTACAGTCTTCAATATGGATTGAGGCTCAATGTCAAGAAGACAAAGATTCTCACCACTGGACCAATTGGCAGCATTAGGATGGATGGTGAAAAGATTGAGATTGTTCACAGCTTTAGTCTGCTTGGCTCCACAGTCAACACTCTTGGCACCAGCAGCCAGAAAATTAAAAGATGTATTGTGATGGGAAAGTCTGCTGTTAGGGACCTCTCTAAAGTACTCAAGAGCAATGGTGTCTCTCTGGAGACTAAGGTATGTCTGATACAGGCCATGGTCTTTGTAATCACTTGTTATGCATCAGAGAGTTGGACAGTGACTAAGGAGGATAGAAGAATTGATGCCTTTGAGCTGTGGTGTTGGAGAAGAGTATTGAGGGTACCATGGACTGCCAAGAAAACAAACAGATTCATCCTTGAGAGGGTTAAGTTGGGCTGCTCCTGGAGACAAAGATTCTGAGGCTTCATCTGACATACTTTGGTTGTAAGGAGAGACCAGTCCTTGGAGAAGGACATCATGCTTGGGAGGGTGGAAGGCAGGCGCAGGAGGGGAAGGCCCTCTAGGAGGTGGATTGATTTGGTGACTGGGGTAATCAAGATGGGTATGTCGGAGACAGTGAGATTGGCACAGGACAGATCAGAGTTTAGGGCTGTTGTACATAGTAGGGTCGCTATGAGTCTCACGTGACTTGACGGCACTACATCATCATCATTCACTTTTCAAATGTACAATTTGCTATTTTTAAAAGACGAGTTGTACAACCATCATCACCTCATTCTAGAATATTTTCACAGCAAAAGACAGAAAAATTGTACTCATTAGCAGTCCCTCCTCATACCTACCTTCTCTGAGACCCTGGCAAACCATGATCTACTCTCAGTCTATAAATTTATCTATTCTCTAAGTACATATAAATAGAATCATAGAACATATGATTTGCTGTAGCTGTCTTATTTCACTTTTCAAGGTTTGTATTTTTTCCTGTTATCAGTACTTCATTTCTTGTTATTGTGTGAATAAGCCATATTTTACTTATCTGTCAGTTGATAGGGATTGGGTTATTTTCACCTTCGGCTATTGTGAAAAAATGCTGCTGTGAAAATTCACATACAACGTCTTATGTAAATTTGCATATTTTCATTTCTTTTGGATTAGAAATCAAACTGCCAGATTGCTTTCCAAAGTGACTGCACCAAATTATATTCCCATAATCAGAATATGAGAGTGCACCACTTTATCCACATGCTTTCCAGTGTTTAGGATTGCCTGACTCTGATCATAGCTATACTGTTGTTGTTTGCCGTAGAATCAGAACTGACCCATAGCAGATCCTCTGGCGGGTTTTCAGAGGCAGTTAATTGCACAGGAGGAGATTTTCCTTTCTTTTCCCACAGAGCAGCTGGTGGCCTTGAACTGCATGCCTTCGGGATTGCAGCACAGCTTTTTGCCACTAGGCCACCAGAGCTCCCTCATAACCATACTAGTGGATGTGAAATGATATCTTATTGTGGCTTTAATTTGTATTTCCCTAGTAGTTAATGAAGTTGAACATCTTTTCATATGTTTATTGGCCACTTACATAATCTTTGGAGAAATGTCAATTCAAGTCATTAGGCCACATCTCAACTGAGATGTTTTTTTATTGTTAAACTCTGAGAGTTCTTTATATATTCTGGATACAAGTTCTTTATCCAGGTATGTGATCTTTAAATTATTTTGTGGGCTGTCATTTCACTTTCTTGATAGTGTTCATTATTGTTCTTATTGTTTTCTCAGATATTTGAGTGAAAATTTACAAAGCATATTGGATTGTTCATGCACATTTTGTTCCATAATCAAATATAGTACACACAACATTTTATCATCCATTCATTCGACACATCTTACTGTTTAATGCCTATAAATTAGTTCCTTTTCAGAGGCAGTTAATTGCACAGGAGGAGATCATTCTAAAATGATTCTCGATGTATATGAACTTTTCTCTAACTTATTGTAACTGTGACCCTATAAAGTATTTGTTATTGTGTGACTGTCTTACTTCACTCAGCATAATGTCCATAAATTCCCCTTCCTTAGAACTTTAGAATTTGTAGCATTTAACGCTATTCTTCTCCTATATATCCTTTAAAATATTCTTAAAACCAAACAGTAGATTATTTAATTAATTGAAGGGGGAAATGTCTGCCTTGAATGTTTGAACTGGAAGAATGTAATCAATGTCGTGTAGAAATGGTTGAATTGGTATTTGTTTTGCTGTGTAGATTCTCAGCAACAATAGCAAATACGTATTTTTAATTGTATATTCTAAACTCAATGTTTGGTTTCCTGGGGAAGGAGGTTGGACTCTTGCCTATTTTTTCCCCGAGCCGCGTAGCCCGGTGTGAGGTTCTTTGAGCTTGTCATCTCGGTGACTGCGTGAGCTCATGGCCTCTCCACTGAGGAAAGCTGGGGAGTGGTGCCAGCACTTACTGCTGCCCCTGAGCTAATGCCTGCTGGCTCCATGGTAAACATGGGCCTTTTAATAAGCTGGAGACAAAGTGACATTCGCAAGAAACAACATGTCAACAATTTCCTTAATAAATTTTGTACGAACACATTATTTCCACCTAATGGAAATGTAGCTCTCTTAAATAATTGAGAGGCTGTATTCATCAGTGGTGAGTTCAGCTGGGACCTGTGAGCTCAGGCAGCCGACAGCCCCTTGAAAGACTAGGTAACTGATCTTTTATACAAGTGGCCTGGCTGGTTGTCAGAGGGACCCTGGGTGGCACCTCCCTGCGTCCGTGCACAGCTTCCCTCTGTGGCCTAGGCAGGCACAGACAGCCTGGACTGGAAGTGTCCAGGAACAGCCAATAAACTGCTCTGATAGTAACTAGTCCTTTTAAAAACTGGAGCCGACTCAGCCGTTTTTCCCCTCCCAGTATTTTTTTGGAGTTTGGTTTTTGGTTGGTTTTACTGTGTCCTCTGACAGCTGCAGTATTAGCACCAAAGACCTTGATGTTATTAAAGGGTGATGATTCTGAACATTCAGCATGTCACTCATTTTCATGTGCCAAATGATAGTCACATCCTGAGAGAGCATCCCTAATGTTTGTGAAATAAATGAGTGATTAGTGAGAGAACAAATGTAGAGGAAGTTGGCAGGAGTCAAGTTAGGGACATTGATCTGAACTTTGAAGGAAAGAAAAAAATGCTGGAGAATACACAAAGATTTAAAAAAATACATGCTGCTCTCAACACAAACAAGAACAATTAGACATTTCTGGTTTTTTCTGCTGCCTTCCTAAAGTTTGTGGTTGCGTCAGAAATCCTGGTTGGCGGTGGGAAGTTCTCCTGGCCCTGCCAGCCCTCCGTCAGATGGTGTCTTCCTCAGAGTGTTTTCCGTGGTGAGAGGAGACAGCAGGAGAGCGAGGGTTCCTGGGCGGAGGAGAGGGACACTGCTTCAGCAGTGATTTGCATTGTGCTTTGGCCCCTGTGTACTTGTTAGAATTATGACCATCATCATGTTGTTTAATTGCTTTTTTTTTTTTAATTTGCAGGTTGTTCCTGAAATGACTGAGCTATTGAAAAAGAAATGAATAATGATCATGTCTTCAGAAGGAAAATGATGTCAGAGTGTTCAGCTGAAATCAGATATTCAAGAAAATTGTAACACTTGTTGGAAAGCTTGGAGAGCTAATTTCATAAATTAAGAAAAAAAATCTAAGCGATACAGAATGCCTTTTATGGGACTGTTATCCATTTCTAATTCTTTTTTTGGCACCAAGCAATTATATTTTTGACATTTTCTAATTCTGTAATAAAATATATAATAAAGCCTTTCCAGAATTTTAAAACAATAACTAGAAATATGCCAATCTTCTTAAAGAGAGAAAAACTGAAGAATTGGAATAAAAATGTTCCCTCTTTTGCTATCTAGTTGATAGAGAGTTCACTGGTTTAGGAGAGATTATAAAGTTAAATGTTCCCACTAGTCTATAATCTGCTCATCTCATTGTGGAAATTCCTGTCTCAGTAAAGAATGGAACTAGATCAGCAATTCAGAGTTAAAAATCTGACCACATAGCTTGAATTTTCTTCTAAACACAGTCCAGTCTTCAGAGAGCCTTAGCTACTGTGACAGAAGCAGACCTGACTTAAGCCTGAACCTGCTCAATTTATTTAGTTGGCTTAAGTGAAAATTAACTTTCTATTCAATTTTAAGGTTTTGTCAGTTTAAGAATTTGTATCTGTTAAGAAGGGGAGAGCATGCTTTGAGACAGTGTGGCCTCTTTGCAAATGCTGTTACAAATGTTTCAAGTGAACCCTCTGGCCCTCCTGATCTAGTTTTCAGCTCCCTTTGGGCTTCCTTGGAAAGGCGGCTGGGTGTGCGTGTCAGTGCACGCTGTGGTTACCTCAGGCACACACTCGGCTGTTGTTGCTCACGGTCACGGTCCAGGTATCACGAAGACAGCAGGCTGATGTGCAAGCCCAAGACCAGAGGCTGCTAGGGCTTTGGCCAGTCCTTGAGCGAGGGATGGACAGTGTGTGGGGTCATAGAAAGTCCAGGAATCAGAAGGTAGAATGAAGAGCAGCAGATGTGCAGAACTGGAGTAGTGACCAGGACAAGGGGACATGACAGAAGTGGGAAGTGACCAGTAGTAGTACATGAGGGACAGCAGCAGAGGGGACCCTTGTGTGGTCAGCCTGCAGCCCTTCCTCTGCATCTGCTGAGTGAGTGAACCTTTTTTGATTTATGTCACAATCACTTTTAGAAGTTAAGTGTCTCTAGCACTTCAGTTTGTTTTTAATGAGGTGGAAGGAGAGCAGTAAAATGATGCCCCTTTGCAAGTAGGGTCATTTTAACACACTGTTAGAATCCTAGAGTGTCAGACTTGAGAAATCATCTGGTCCCTCCTCTTGTACAGACGGGGACACTGAGGCACAGGAATGAAGTGAAGGAGGTAAAGCGAATCGCCCAAAACCACCAGCCTAGAATCACTCTTGTGAAACTTACTTGCTGTCTTTTGCGGCTCTTCGAAGAGGGTCTCACCTTGCTCAAGGCCTTTTCTGTCTGCCTCTCATCTCTTGGACACTGTAATTGGGGCAATAAGGGGCAAATGTGGCAGCTGCAGGGGTGCTGCTGGTAGAGGGTGTGCTGCCTCAGGAGGGCACCCCAGCTCATTCCTGTTCCCTGCCTTCGGGATGGAACTAATTGGACCTTCTTTCTGCTCCCTCCAGTCAGGGCTGCCCTGCCCCAGCCCCAAAAGCTGTTCACTTAACATTTACTTGGACGACTATGAACCTGGAAGGCTGCCACTAAACCCTGAGGACATCCAGTGGCCAAGGAACATAGTCCCTTATTTCTCCAGCGGTTACTATCATAGCCATTTAATAACGGCAATAAATACAGCTCCTTGTACCAGGCCCTTCTAGTCTAACACTTGACTAAATATTCATTACCTTCAGTCTTTACTGTGCTCTGTAAGGTAAACAAAACAAAAGGCACCACCTGTTGTGTTGATTCTAATTCAAGGTGACTTGTGTTTCAGAGTAGAACTGTGCATGACATTTTCAGTGACCATGACCTTTCATAAGTAGATGACAAAGCTACCTGAGGCACCTGCGTGGGTTCAAGTCATCAACCTTTCAGTTACTAGCTGGGCACTTAAAACAGTTATTCTTCCCAGGGATTCCTGCCCTGTTAGTCAGGGGCTATTGCTGTTAGGTGCCTTTGACTCATAGCTACCCTGTGAACAACAAACAGGGACCTCGTCCTGTCCTGTGCCACCCTCACACTCTCTGCCATGCCCGAGTCCATTGTTAACAATCTCTATGCCAGTCCACCTCCTCACGGGGCTTCCTGTCTTTACTGACCCTGTGTCTTTCCCAGCATGGTATCTTTTTTTCAAAGACAACATGCACACACAAAGTATGTGAGACAGATTTTCACCATCCTTGCCCTTAAGATTTCTTTGTTCAGTTGGTTGTCCACACCTGTTCTCTCCATTTTATAAGGTGTAGTCCACAGGGAGTGGCACTGCTAATCCAGAAGTCGCTTACCTGGGTTGGTAAGCAGCCTCTGTTGCGTGGTTTGAATCCAACAACTGCTCCTCACATGTGGTTTACAGCCTCCGAAAACCTGCTGGAGGGTCAGCTCTGAGGCTGTTGTGGCTCCACAGCAATGAGTTTGAGTCGAGCTTTTAAAGGTGAGGACGCTGAAGGGCAAAGAGGTCGCATAAGTTGCCCCAGTTCAGACGGTTTATAAATGAGGGCCAGGATTTGGACCCAAGCATTCTGGTGCCAGGGCTGTGGCTTGAGGGTGTGATCACCTCAGTTCCGAGAACGGGGAGGCAGCTGCCCAGGAACCTCAGGTCAAGGGCACCAAGTGTTTTGTTCTCAGTGGGATCGATTGTAAAGGAAAGAAGGTTTTCTAGGCTTGTTTCTCCAAAAGGATTTTATGAACTTAAAATCCTCTCTCTGAGCATCCCTTTATAAAGTCTACCTTCAGAAGGAAGTTGCATAAAGTGAGGGTAAATTGTTGACGTGATCTTCTCTGCTGGAAAGTGCAATCTGATTTAACCCCTTGTGTCTGTATATCTTGTTGGAAGCCAAGCTGTTCTCAATGACTCTGCCCCTGTGTCTGGCCTCGGGACCCAGGGTAGTAGTTTTGAGAGCAGCGTGGAGGCAAAGTGTTAATAGTAGCATTCTTAGAACAAGTGTGTGTTCTGCTTGTCGGCCCAATTTCCTGGGGTCACTTGTCAACCTCAAGAACCCCTTAGGGATCTGGTGGCTGGTTACCCTTTGACAGAACAGAGTTCCTGCGAGGACAGAAATGTGAATGGAGAAGGCCTGTGCAGACACAGCCAAGTGGGGACAGTCCGGCTCCTCCTGTGGCCACAGGCCCTCAGCAGTCCTGTCGCTGCATCCCTCTAGGGGCCTCTAGTTTACCAGCTGTGCCCTGTGGGACCAGCACAAACACCAGAAGTCTGGTCCAGCCAGCTCCCTGAAGTACCTTGTGATATTGACAAAGGAAAAAAGTTCTGGTAATAAAAGCAGTTGATGGGCAACCCCTGCTCTCAAGGATTTTGAAACTGAGATGAGACACAAGTGATTATAAAAGCAGGCAGCGTGTACTGAGTAGCTCAGAGAGAAGGATGCCTCTGTGGACCCTTGTAGTTATTTATCCAGGGGCTAAAAATACTGCCTTCAGGTTCACTGTGACTCATGTGACCCCGTGAGGGTCAGAGTACTCCAAGGGTATTTCCACGGCGATTTTTCATACATATCACATTTAACTTCTAAACTTCTGGTCAGCAGTCAAGAGTCTTAACTCGACACCACCAAGTACTCCGCTCAGGGCATGTTGTTAAATGCTATGGAGTCTAGTCTGATTCATTGAGATAGAGGCTTTTCATTTGTAGAAACTGATTAGCAATCACATGACTGCTTGGGGCAGACGGTGGAAAGAGGCCAGAGTGTGACGCTAACCAGCTGAGGAGTTCAGCCTCTTTCCCGTAGGTCAGTGCACCTCAAGCTTTGCCTCCGAGAAACGCTGCCCTTTCAGGAGGAGCTAGACCAGATGACGCTGAGAAAGGTCACAGAAGTCTTTTCTTGATTTTTAGAAAAAAAAAATTATCTATAGACTTTCCTCAGCCTTGAGTTTCCCCTAAACCTTTGGTAGGGAGCTCTGATGGCCTAATGGATAAAGGGTAATCCAAAAGCAGGTGATTCAAATCCACCGAATGCTCTGAGGGCAAAATGATGGGCAATCTTCTGTGCGATGTGATTTATAACCTCTGAAAGCCTGTGGGAGTGTCGGCTATGAGTGGTTCCCACTCAATGGCACATAACAACAAACCTTTGGCGGCTGCTATCCCTGGGGTAGGGACGGCTTGTAGTCGTCATTGGTGCTGTTAGTAGACTATGCTGTTAAGTGTTCTTAGTTGACTATGACTCATAGCAACACTGTGAAAGACAGATGTGAAATGTGCACCATCCTCACCATGAACAGCAGAAGCACCAGTGCCTTTTGTTGTTTTTATGAACATTGGGAGCAGTGACTTTGTGGAATTCTCTCTCCTGATTGTTCAACTCTTCTTTGTCTGTATGAGTTAAACACGCTGTTGTATTGGTTGTTCTGCAAAGGCGGCTAGGGCTTTGCCATCTAAGCATGTTGTAAGAATGAGGAGCCAATGATCACTTTAGTTTTTGCACAGAGGACTTTTAAGGAACATCAACAACCTGTGTTATGCAGATAACACAACCCTGCTTGTTGATACTGAGGAGGACCTGATGCACTTGCTGCAGAAGGTCAAGGACTGCAGCCTTCAATACAGATTGAAGCTCAACATCAAGAAAACAATGATTGTCACCACTGGGCCGATTGGCAGCATCATGATAGATGGTGAAGAGATTAAGATTGTTATCTTCAGTTTGCTTGGCTCCGCAATCCACACTCTTGGCACCAGCATTAAGGAAATCAAAAGATTAATTGCATTGGGAAAGTCTACTGTCAGTGTCCTCTCCAGAGTACTGAAGAGCAATGATGTCAGTCTGGAAACTAAGGTGCTCCTAATCTAGGCCATAGTCTTCTCAATTACTTGCTATGCATCAGAGAGCTGGACAATGACTAGGGATGGTAGAGAATTGATGCCTTTGAGCTGTGGTTCTGGAGAAGAGTGTTGAATATACCTTAGACTGTCAGAACAAATAAAAACAGGCTTGTCCTGGAGAGGGTGAAACCAGGCTACCTCTTGGAGGGAAGGTTTCTGAGGCTTAATCTGACATACTTTGGGCATGTTGGGCCATGTTGTCTGGGCATTTTTGGACATGGAGACACCAGTCCTCGGAGAGGGACA